GGGGGCGACATGAACTTACAGTAACTTATGATGCCTATCATGGTGACGCGTATTTGTTGGAAAGCCCTGTGTAGTTATTTCTGAAAAAAGGACCCCACTGGGTAGTTTTCCCAAGAATTCACTGCACTTGCTGCATTTCTTCCTCACGATGTGGATCCCAAACACGTGAGTACTTTTGCAATTTGTAGTTCCAACGCGTGTTACAAGGTTCAGGAGGGTTCTCTCCTCCAGAGATGCGGGCTGTCTCAACTTGGTAGCATCTAAGTTGTAGGTAGTGCAGTCCCGAGTCCCCAACTGAGAACATGCTCAACCTGTAATCCTTAACCCCATACATATTTGTATGTGTGTGTACATATTTATATACATATTGTTTTCCCCACCTAACTCTCTCTCTCTCTCTCTATATATATATCCCCCTTCATCTGCGCAGATATATATATATATGTGTGTGTGTGTCTATGCACACATATGTATAGACACACATCCCTTTATACCCCGGGACACGCCTAAGCATGCCTTTCTACTTTTGCATGTCCCGTATATTCCTACATATCCCTACACATCCATACCACCAACAAATCTACCAACCCTAAACCCAACTCAACAAATGTTAGGTGCGCAGATGGGCCCAGGGCTGAGTGAGCTCACTACATGTGAGCAGATTCTTCTGGGTTGGAATACGGTAATGGGGTTTAGGGTCATAAGTTTTGAGGCAATTTAATGGGTTTAGGCCTCGGGGTTCGGGGCAGTAGGTCTTAAACAATCCTGGAAGGGCGCACTTTTGCCTCAGGGAGTCAGCCCCCAAATCTCATGTTGTGAGGTCTTGATTGCAGGCATTCTCCTGAAAGCAGTGAGAGGAGCCCAGACCAAATTCACTCCACGTTGGGCTTGGGTTTTAGGGCCAGTCTTCTTAGCAACAGTACCAGCAAAGTAGCAGTATGAGAGGGTGTTCTCCTACCTACGAGCAGCGGAGCAACCATCCTTTCCGAGACCCTTCCAGCAAAATGACCCTTCTGGAAGAGCTTGCGCCCAGCGACTCTCCATCTGTGAGTCTGCAATGTTCAGGGCTTAAGCCCATGGTCTACCAAGACCTAAGGAGAAGCGTTGCATTGTAGAAACTGGGTTGCTGTGAAGGAACGAACTGAAATTACCATAGTAAGGAAGCCCAAATTTTTCTATATACCCATATCACGGTAACTTAACAGCAGCCAAGGGGAGGGCAGGGGATGTCTTCAGGGTTTGCTTTACTGAGGTGAAGCAGAGGTTTGGCAAGCATGCTCCAGTGCACCGCATGGCGCCTTGGCACGTTGGTGATGAAGCTAACATATGAGCTACAGTCTAAAACCCTTTAATGGGAGTTATATAGGTCATAGGGTTTAGGGTCTAAACTCCTTAAAGGGGTTCTATAATGGAGCATTATGGGGCTTATGAAGGGGGATACTAGGAGCTTAGACTATGGCTCACACATGTGGCAGATTGCAAAGTAGTTACGGCCTGTCCCGCAGCTATGCCCAAACATCCTGGCATCATGCTGACCAGTGCGGGAGGCGATCATTCTGCTTACCGGGACTTCTCCTGGCATGGATGAAACTGTTCGGGCGGCTCGGCCAGCAAAGGCAACATTATGTGCCTTTTTCTCTGGATAGCAGGTGGACAACCAAAGGCTTGAGTCTTGCAAGTCGTCTAAAGAAACACTGGTCAAGGGTCGAATCACCAAGTGGAGCAGGTGCATGCAAACAAGAGTATTGGATTCGTCACCCACTTCCAGATTTCATGGCATGTCCATTTGCACATCTCCATTTCCTGTCCTAAGCCAAAGACTGTCACCTCACGTTGGTATGACACGGATGCTGGCATTTGTGCTTTGATTGCAGCAGGGCCTTTGTGGATGGCATCAATTAGAATTGGAACGCTCACGCCATGAGGACTGCGTAATTGAAAGTGGAAGAAGATTCGGACCCGTGCCCAACCCTAAACTGGAAACCCTTTGGTTTTTTTTCTGCCATTCCCACGTGCCACGCCCAGATTCCAATATACTGAAATTCAAGAGACGGACCCGCCTAAAGGCAAGTAACCATGAGCTGAGGACGGCGATGATGCTTGATGATGAAGTTTCACTTGCCAGTGGGAATGATCTACAGCTAAAGCTATAGGGGTCATGTATGTAGGTTTATCTTGGGGGTACATAAGAGTTTATAGGGATACGTATGATAGGAGTTATATAACAGAGTTGTCTGGGCTTATTCTATAGGACTTCACATCATTTTTATGAGCGCCGACAGGACTTGAAAAAATCAAGCATGCTAGTCTTGGTCATCAAGGCTTATTGGAACTCTAAACCATGAAACTAAAACCCTAGACCCTAAGCCCGTAAACTTGCCCTAAACCATCATGTTTCACTTCCCTGAGGCTTGAATTGAGCAGCAAGGGAGTTCGAATGTTTCACAAGCCGCACAGCCGTGTGCAGCCCAGCGTTTTCGTCGAATTTCGCTTGCTTTCGCATCCTGCTGTGACACGGATTCTAGAGTCTAAGGGTTGAGGATTAGGTAATAAATGTTGATAATCAAGGCAGCAGGTCTCATCCTAATTTCCAGGTTGTAATCCTGCACGAAATGCTTACGCAAGCAATCACGAAGAAAATTTGGACTTGCCCAAAATTTTGGGGTCTGTTTCGGGCATCCCCAGAGGACGGTCTAGACTATTTGTGGTCTATATTGGGATCCCCCGTAAACCCTGCCGGTACCGGACGAAAAGAGTCGTTTGGCGTAGCAACCATTAGCCAGGTCGACCCGCTTGCGCGCTTCGCACCCCCAGGGCGGCTATTTGAGGACCTGCGAAGATCACAATTCAGCGGGTGAGGAGTTGGGGATTGGGGTTTTGATTTGGGGTTTGAGCCCCCATGAGGGCAGGGGGTAAATTCTGATATGGGTGGTTGTCCAAATTATGGTCCCTTTTTGGGTACCCTAAATATTAGGTGCCGTATTATAATAGGGATCCAAAAGGGACCGTAATTTTGACAACCACCCATATGGGATCTCCCCCCAAAGGAGCGTTGGTGGTTCTATCGGGCGACCTCACAAGGCCGTGGCTCAAGGTTCATAATGGCAAGGTGTGTGCGGCAAGCGCAGGTCCATGTTGGGTGTAGATACGTGGCAGTTTCCCAAATGGGGGGGTCCCAATAACCTGCGTTGTAGGTACTGCTCCAAAAAGGCACCCTTAATTTTGGGAAACTACCATATGCAATCCACTTGTAAAGGGTCCCAATACTGCAGGATCCTTTCTGGGGAGCCTGGGTGGGAGGATTGTAATGGAAACCAGTTTGAGCACATGTGTGGGTTTTTGTGTTCCTTAGTAGTGAGGAGTGATATAGGATGCCTAAGTCCTAAACCATAAATCCTAAACCCTATAGCCTAAATCCTAAACCCCAATCCTAATCCCTAAATCCTAGCCCTGCTTGTCCTCAAGCTCCAGGGTTCTTCTTCACAGCAGATGGCTTTGAGCGAGTGTCTAGCAAACATTGCTGAAACAGAACCCTCACATAAGTCCGATTCCGTTTCGGCTTCCATCTTCTGTTCAATTTGCGCTTGCCCCTTTTATCCCTCTTATCTTCTATATACCCCTTTGCGAGAGCTATTTTAAGCTGCCTTTCTCTGGCGGCTTGCGCCAAGTCAGGACTCACCCTTCTCAAAGAACCCGGGAGGCAAAGGGATTGGACACGCTGTTTAGGCTTCGGAGTCCCTTTCAAACGAGGCATAGGAGCTATAAAGGGATGCGTAGGAGTCCTTGGGCTTAGGTTTTTGGCTAGGGTGTATGTCGGACTCCACCGGGGGGGTGTTTGGTGTTCTCTTAGTTGACATCCCCATGCTTGGAATTTTGGCGCATTTCCGGGAGCTCAAAATGATGCTCTTCTGTGGTTTCTGATAGACTGGCCACATGAGCTTGTATAGGGGAATATTATACGGCTTATGGGGGGATACTGGGAGTTGACACTCTAGATCGCATGACCGACAAGTTCCAAGTAAGCTTAGGCATGGTCGGCAAACCTTGGTGGGAGCCTTTTCTTCCTTTCATGCACCACGAAAGTACTCACCTTGCCTCTTCTACATGGGGGGTGCGGTTTCCCAAATTTAGAGGCCCTTGACAGCACCTACTGTTTAAGGGTGCCAAATTGGGACCCTAATTTTGAGAAATACCCCCATCTCGTAGGAAGCTTGCGAATGCTCCCAGCCTGTGTATAACCCCCTATAGATACTACCCTGTTATTATATAGTAGTTTCCATGTTCTTTTCCATTATCCCAATATAACCCCAACATATTACCTGTAGTCACTGTAGTTCCCATATAACCCATTATAGTAGTTTCCATTTTCTTTTCCATTATCCCTATACAACCTAATACCTAAACCCTAAATCCATTATAGTAGTTTCCATTTTCTTTTCCATGATCCCTATACAACCTAATACCTAAACCCTAAACCCATTATAGTAGTTTCCATTTTCTTTTCCATTATCCCTCTACAAACCCCTATTATATATCTCATTATATTGACTTCTGCCATCCTGCAGCCATTTCCGCTGTGTGCACGCCGTGTAGGGATCATAGCCCCAATGTGTCCATGTTGGGGTTTCCACTCGGGGCAGTGCAGATGTTTTGTGCAGCGAGTCTTATATACGGGCTGAAATCTACATGCATGCTTCAGGGAAGTCATTGTCACTTCAGGTCAGGCCGGGGATGACATGGGATGACACAACAGGTTCGCTAAAACACGCTTTTGCGTGTCGTTTAACGGCTTCATGACTGACATGGTGGTCGAATCGGAAAGTCTCGCCGCAGAACGGCTACATGACAAAGGTGTTTCCCCATTTGAGGAGCATGAAGGAGTTCTGAAAGGCGGACCCTCCCATCAACCTCCCCCCAGCGTCATGGTTCGTCCATTAATATGGTTAATTCCTGCACTATAGTTGCAGGCCCTAGACTCAAGTGGAATCATGTGTAATCGCGTTTTTATGGCCGATACGCCGCACGAATTCTACTCCTGTATGGCTGGGTTCATTCCCCCTTACAGTATCTGTTACCACAATGGGTTATAGGAGTTATAAGACCCCCCTTAATAGGGCCCCTTTAAGGACAGTTACTGGGAGGGGGAATGACCCAATGTATGGCACTGCTCTTATCCAAAGTGTGAGCTATGGCCTGCCTAGCTTGACAAACGGCTGAATGCCGGCTGTTGCCAGCTTTTCAGTTTACGGTGGAGAAGCTTGATCCTGACTGGGAGAGTTTATGAAGGGACTCTTCAGTGCTGAGGGAGGGCCTATGGCTTCCTAGCACACCGCCCGGCTAATCTGACTTTGACTTCGGAGAGACTCCAGACTGCATGTCGGAAGGCTTATTTTCCATGCGCGTTGATGCGATTTCGTTCCGTGATACATCATGTAGGACTTTCCCATCCCATCGCAATCCCTATTTTTTCAGGGTGGCTATGAGCACCCTTTTTACGTAGAAACCCCCATGTGAGGATGCAGGCAACGATGCTCAGTTTGCAGCTGCAAAGATGTAAGTAGTAAACGCTTCTGACTAGGATCCTTATTGTGGGGGCTGGGGTTACAAGGGTATGCCTCCTAGGCTTCAGGGGGCCATAATGTGAACAACGGCGATTTCTACGCCTCACTTTTGATCTTGGGGCCAAGGTCGGCTAAAACCACATGAGCTACCGTCAATACATGCTGATGAAGAAGCTCTTCACAGTGGACTTTGGGCTCCGACTTGTAGTGAAGTACAGTACCCGATCTAGTCTATAACGAGGAACCCGTGTCCATTGAATTATGTGTGAGCGATACACTAAACCCTACAATTGTGTAGGAAATATTGTCTGTGGCTCACATGATCTTCTTTGTCATGTTGTAGGTTGCATCTGGGCCTCGTAGCAAGGCGTAAAAACCGCGCTGCGGTTTTTGACCGTTGGTCGTAAAACTGCTGCATGGCCTTAGTACAGCAGCATAATTCAAAACTTCAAAGGTGCAGGGTCATGCGGGATTTTGGGCGTCAACCCTATAAAACCCTGCACAACCCCCGCAGCCCGGCTTCAATTTTGTTTCCTTTCGATTTTCCTTTATTGGGATGAGGATGGTTGGCATCAGCCCATCTACTTCCTGAAGGAACTGCCCTAAACCCTAAACGGCCATAAACCGTATCTACTTCCTGAAGGAACTCTGCTCGTGGCCCCTGAGCCAGACCCCACAGCGGCCTCGGGCATAAGAGAAGCGACATAGAGACCCGGGGGGACTTAGTGAGTAGGTTATGAATGGGGTTCATGTGCAGACTAGCCCCATGGGCCTTCAAGGAACATGTAGTGCCAGGGGGCTAAGTAAGCAGATCAATCATGGTGGTAACTGGGGTCATTACATGGCATATAAGGGTTATTCGTATACTTCCTAAGCCCCCCTGAACCTCTACGTACACCGCTTTGCTCGTTTCTTTTCTGCCTGCTTCTACAATATCAGTATGCTTACTGAGTCCCCTGATCCGACCTTTTGAGTACCTTTAAGGTTTTGGATTTAGGCCATGAGCTCCGACTTAGGATGAGCGAATCCTACTCCAGCTCCTCCCCGTCTAGTCAGGCCATTTCAGATCAACACTACAGCAGGTTGGGTTGCTGGTCTTTACATTGGGTTTCTGCTTTTCTGCTTTGCAGACAGCTGTACATAGGGATCCTGATGATGCGGTTTGGGGTTTAGGGTTGAGGAATACCAAGCGGTTTCTGGGAATAGACTCAGAGAGTTCTAAGCATTGGAAATTGCATGGCGGTAGCCAATTGGTTGCTTCAGGTTGAATTTTTGGACAGGGCTTCGGGTGATGGAGTTGAGGGAAAGCGAAGGTTTGCTATGCAGGGTCTAGGGCCTCAGAAAGTTGCGGCAGGACATACATCCAACTAGGCCAAACAGAGATCTCCTGATCCCCCACAACCAGCCACCTAATCCTGAACCCTTTTTATCCCCCATAGGTAGATAGAATGTAGGATATTTGGGGATCGTATTATGGTTCTGGATACTTCCATACTCTATCTGTTTAGGGGGGACTGTAGCCCTAAGACCTTTGCATGCGTTG